GGATCTCTGTCTCATTGTCAGTGCCATGGGAGCTCTGGATCTCTGTCTCATTGTCAGTGCCATGAGCAGCTCTGGATCTCAGTCTCATTGTCAGTGCCATGGGAGCTCTGGATCTCTGTCCCACTGTCAATGCCATGGGCAGCTCTGGATCTCTGTCCCACTGTCAGTGCCATGAGCAGCTCTGGATCTCAGTCTCATTGTCAATGCCATGGGAGCTCTGGATCTCTGTCCCACTGTCAGTGCCATGGGAGCTCTGGATCTCTGTCCCACTGTCAGTGCTGTGGGGAACTCTGGATCTCAGTCTCATTGTCAGTGCCATGAGCAGCTCTGGATCTCTGTCCTGTTGTCAATGCCATGGGCAGCTCTGGATCTCAGTCTCATTGTCAGTGCCATGAGCAGCTCTGGATCTCTGTCCTGTTGTCAGTGCCATGAGCAGCTCTGGATCTCTGTCCTGTTGTCAGTGCCATGAGCAGCTCTGGATCTCTGTCCCATTGTCAATGCCATGGGCAGCTCTGGGCCTTCCCTCTCCATAGAGAACTGCTCCATTACCCCAGCTGCTCTTTGGCTTTGCCGTGCCTCCCTATGCATCTCTCTGGTGATGCATCTATGGTATTCAGAGTCCAGTCTTGTTACCTGCTGGTGCCTCCTGGCCAAGCTGCAGCTTTGGGAAAAATGGCCAGTGAGCTTGGAAGTCCCAAATTTAATCAGTTCTCACTGTCCAGTACCCCATGACCTGACAGAGCTTTTGTGAGCAAAGATGAGAACACACAGCTCAGAGCTGCCCTGAGTGGAGAAGTGACGCTGTTAATCAGTCACAGCTTTGTGCTCCTCAGTTCACATGGTCATTTCTCTGCTTTGCTGTGAGAGTTTTGTGTTTCTGCTCACTGGTTCAACCTTGCACAGAAATAGAGATAGAATTTCTTGGAAATAGGAGTAGAATTGCCCAGAAATAGATCAGCAAACTCGAGCCCCTCAAGGACTTGAGGTTTCCCTCCTAAAACAGTAATGTATCCAGTCAGCATTTGGAAGAGAGAAAGCTGAATTCTTTGGTGTTGTCAGCTGGGAATCTGCTCCTCTGGCAGATGAGTGTGTACATTTTGCAGGTGTTCCATCAGGTTTCCAGTTCGGTCACACCTGATGTTTCTCTGGGTTCTCTCAGCAGTTGCAGTTTCTCAGCCTTTTCACATTTGCTGCCCCACAAGAGCAGGGTGAGGTTGGCAGTTCTGATGGAAGTGGAACAACCTTACAGAATAAGCTTCAACCTGATCCTGTTGGAGACTCCCTGCTCGTTGCAGGTGCTGGACTAGATGACCCTGAAAAGTCCCTTCCCACTCAAACCATCCTGGGATTCTGTGAATAATTTAGGTCGGAGGGACCTCACCAGTGCCCTTGGTTCAGCCCAGAGCAGAGCCAATTCAGATAGATTTAGGTTTTTCCTATAAAACGCCTGGTTCCTTACCTGAGAAGGAACTTAGAGTGGTTCAGGAAACCTGATTTCTTTGTGTTTATGTTGGAGCAAAGGCTTTTCCTGCCAGTTTTATGTTGGCAGCATGTGCATTTGAATATGGATTTGGAAATGGATATATGGATTTGAATATGGATATATGGATTTGAATACACTCCAGGAGACTTCAGGTAATGTGGGGTCAGTATCAGTACTTCTAACACCTGTGAATAACCAAGTCTGGCCCCAACCTGCTGCTCGGGCTGAGCAGGTGACATTTGTCCAGGCTCAGGTAAAGAAAGGTTTTGCCAGAATTTATACTGAGATTACTTAAAAGTACTTGGCCAAAAAAAAAAAAAGAAATACCTTTATGATTGATGAAGTAGCCTTGGCTATGTCTCATTTTAAGAATGCTGGTATTTTTTAGTGCCCCTTCCTTTGGGGTGTCAGGAGGAGGCAGCAATGGATGCTCCAGGCTCCTCAGGGGTCTCGGGATCCATGGACTGAGGCCCACGAGCAAAGACACGTTTTGCTGCTGGGTCTTTTAAACCTTGAATCTGGGATTGTGCTGTAAAGCTGGTTTTGATGATTAAATTTATCCCAGTGGTGGAGCCAGCACTGCATGGTGGGCCATTGGAATGCTGAAGGAAGTTCCCATCTCAGTGCCGCATCCTCAGTAATTTCTGTCACCATTTTTGGATGTCTTTTCTCTACTCTTCAATGATTCATGTTGATTCCTGCACAAGAACAATAGACCAAACATGTCTCCAGCCTGAAGAACTGGGAAGAATTTGGGGTTTGCTCTACTCACTGTAGAGGTTTTCAAACCCACTTGCTGCAGACATCTGTTGCCTTCAATTCTCTGATAATTCAGTTTCTAATAGAAATATCAGTAACTCCAAGTCTCCGTGGACTGATTCCTGGTGTATTTGTCTGTCCCAGCTCTGTGGCTCTAGTTATTTTTCTAATCTTAATCCAAATCCTTCCCATATGTTGTCAGAAATGTACTTTGAGCATTTCACAGCTCCATCTGGGCTGGCTGGTGCTCCTGTCATTCCTCAGAGAAGTGCTCCTGTACAGCCTCAGAGAAGGGTCATACACCAGATTAGTGTCACCTGGAACCCTCACCCTACAGAGAACTTGTCCAAAACTAAAGTATAACTGGATTCAGAATAGACCTTAACTTTAACTATCCCTCCATATCCCTTTGGGAGTTGTGATCCTCCAGAGCATTAGTGTGTTCTCCCGTGGAGGTTGGGGACAGTGTGGGACACTGGATGTCTGTAATGCATGGAAGCTGTTGGAGAGAAGGGCCCAGGTGCTCAGCAGAATTTTCAGTTGGCTCCCTGTCAGCTGCCTTCCACCTCTCAACCTCCCAGCCTCGGGACTTCTGGACCATCCAGTTCCTGCTTGGGAGGAGCAGCCAGGAGGGTTCCATAGGCAGGAGAAGGGAAGGATGCTGCTGCTGTGTCCCCAGCTCTGGGCAGCAAAGCACAGAGGTATCAGCATCCAGAAATCAGTCTTTAGGACAAGTCCCACACTGATCCCTTCCTCTTGCAGCCTGGAAGCCGTGGCTGGGGCTTTCGGGATTAGTCCCTGGTCACTCTGTAGTGTCCCTGTGGTGCTGAGTGACCGTGGGCTGATGGTCTGTGCTGGGCCCAGCCTTGTGCTGAGACTGGTCTGACCCTCCTTGATGTGTTTCCATCACCGTATGTGATGCTATAAGCAGCATGTGGGTTTTAGGCCTTTTTTTCCTTGGTGACAGCCAGGCCTGTGCTCTGTAGATTTGTTTTTCCATTCCCTTCCAACCTCTCTTGCTCTGTCAAGGTGTCTCTTCTAGCAATGAGCAACCCCCTCCTCTCCCTTTGTGCTTGTGTGGCTTGTGCTTTCCTTTGCTTTCCCCAGGATTGTCCCTGCTGAGGATCTTGGGGACCTCTGCTCTTCCCCTGCACTGTGGCAGCCTGGTCATGTTGTCCCGGGTGTCCCTGTCCATTCTGCTGCTGATAATCATGTGGGTGCAGAATTCCAGCTCCTCCTTCCCTGGTCCCAGGTTTCCTGCTGAGTTTCTGCTCCCCCTCTGCTGGTGCTGGCACTGCTCCTCTATCCCCTTGGGAGTTCCTGCCCAGCATGTCTGACCTCTTTCCCTCTCTCTTGTCTCTCTGCTCTGGCTCTGTCCTGTCCCACGGAAGGAGCGGATGCGTAGGGAGCGGGAGGCAGCCACGCAGCAGCTTGAGGAGGAGGTGGAGGTGAGCAGCACGGAAGGAGGAGGGCTGGAGAGTCCCAGAAAAGGGCTGCATCTGGACTGGAAGGCTGGAGAAATCCCCAAAAAGTGTTTGTTCCCTGTAGCCTGTGTTCTCCAATTCCTCCCCTAGAGGGATGTGACTTTGAGGATAACAGAAGAGATCAGAACTGAAGAAATGTGTAAGGGATTGAGAAAGGGACAGTGGAAAACAGTGGCTGGTTTGAAACCTGGACTTTTGTTTGATTAGAAAGGCAACACATGGGAAGCAAAATTGAACAAAGTTGTACAGTGAATGTGAGTTAAGGCTGGGAAAAGAAACTAGAGGAATTGCAGAGTTGCACTCTTGAACGTGTCCAGATCCAGACTGGAACTGTTCTGGATGCTCTTGAAGCAAACGGGTAGGTACAGCACACTCTCCTCCCTCCCTGTGAGGGAGTGGATGTGGGGGCAAGAGGAGTGAGGGGATCTGAGCAGCAGTGGGTGGCCGGGAGCCCACAGTGACATGTTCTCCGCAGGGTTTCTCCTGCCGTGGATCCCCCAGATTGTGTTTGGAACAATTCCAGCTCCTTTTCCAGGACTGGGAACTCTGCAGAGTTTGGAGATAAGGCCTTGGTTATTACTGGGGTGGTTCCCTTTTCATTGCTCTTCCTCCTTGACTTAGTTGACTTTGGGCCTGACCCGTTCCTGATGTCTGTGGTTCTTTCCCCTCTCCAGAGCATCCCCAGTGAACCCCTGCGCCTGGACTACCGGACCCTGGCAGCGCTGCCCAGCAGTGGCCTGCAGAGAGGCAACCGTGCTGTGAGTGGGGCTGAGGGGTCCCTGCAGGGGGGAGGCTGTGGGGGGGCTGAGGAGGTGGGGGTCCCTCTGGGGGAGGCAGTGAGGGGCTGTGGAGATGGGGGTCCCTGCAGGGGAGGCCGTGGTCCTTTCCTTACCTGCCCTGTAAGGAAAGGTGCCATGCTGTGGGAGGTGATGGCATCCTCTGCAGAGGAAAATGGGGAAGCAGAACTGTGGGGTACTCTGGCACTGAAACAGGAGGTAGCTGCAAAACAAAGATGGGAATAAGAAAATAAGGAGAGCAAGAGCCAGGTGGTTTTTCTTCTTGGGAAGAGAAGTTGCAAAGTTTGCAAAGTTGCAAAAAACAAAGTCTAGAACAAGGTGGAAAGAACAGCCCAGAGGAAAGAGAAGGAGATGTGAGTGGGAGAGTGCAGGGATCTGTTGTGGAAGGAAGCAGCTCCAGAAAGCTGCCAAGGAGGGAGGGAAAAATTTTTCCCAATGCAGTGATGACAGTGTTGGGTGCACAGCTCAGTTGTGCATCCATTTTGGGGTGGTGTTTAGGAAGGAGAAAGGCTGAAGGTGCTGAGACTGAAAGTATTAAAAAAAGTTCAAGGCCAGGTTGGACAGGGCTTGGAGCAACCTGGTCTAATGGGAGGTGTCCGTGCCCATGGCAGGGCGTGGACTGGATGGTCTTCAGGGTCCCTTCCAACCCAAACCATCCTGAGATTCTATGAAAACCAAGATCCCCCAGGCCTGCAGAAGGCAAAGTGGCTGTGGTTGTGTGTTGTGGCTGAGCCCTGTGGCTCATGTATCATGTTGTGTGTTGTGACTCCAGCTGTGGATGCTCCTGCCCTGTGCTCTGCCTGCCAGTCCCTCATATGTAGTGGCCAAGAGAAATTCCAGTTTTCACAAACTTTATGGATTACAAACTCATCTCCCTTCTGTGTTGTTTGAATTCTCCTCTCTCCATCTTTGCTTCCTTTTATCTTCCCTGCATCACCCCTATTCCACTGGGCTTCTACCTGCTCCTTCACACATCCTCAGTCTCCTCCTTCCTTTCCTTCTGGTGTGGCAAGACCTCCCTTTGCTGTCATCATCCTACTCCATTGTTTTGGGATCATCTCTTTTACCTTTCCAGTCTCCATCCCATTCCACGCAAACAGGTCTCTTCTCCTGTTCTCTTTCCTCCCGTTTCCAGGCCCTCTTGCTTTCTGCCTCACTCAACGACAGCCCTGCATGGGCTCCAGCTCTGGCTCCTTTTGTTCCCATACTTCTCGGCTTTTGGGTTTCCCTCCTGCTGGTCACACAAAAAAGCATTATCAGGAAAAGGTTTATTTTTAGCGTCTCTGAGTGTAACTCAGTAGCTGGAAGAGGGGGAGAGCCATCCCCAGGCAGCAGCTGCCTCCCTGCCGGACAGTCCGAGCGTGGTGCAGAGCAGAGCAGCCTCTGGGAGCTTGTGCCTTGCAGCCTGTGTCAGATGGGAATGCCTGGCATGGGAATGTGGGGCTGAGTGTGCCGGAATGCCGGGGTGATGGGCGGCATCTATAAATGTCCTGCTTCAGGGAAGGGCCCATGGGTGCCAATGTGTGGTTTTGTCCAGCTGTCACCAGCCCTGTCTTTGCTCTGGTTGGAAAAGTACGTCTGCCTGGATCGTGGGGACAAGTGAGATTCTGGTGTGGGGACAGGGAGGTTCCGGTGTGGGGACAGAGGTTGGTGGTCCTTCAGGAGCTGCTCTGGGCTGTTTGGTGACTGCTGGAAGACTCAACCAGGGTGGGCTTTCCAGCAGGACAGGTAGGTCAGTGACAGGTTGTCCATCTCTGGACAGTCTGACTGCATCCAGATGGTTGGTGCTCTTGTCCCGTTCCCATCGTGGTTTTCTCTTTCTCCCTGTCTCCAGGCCAACTCTCTCACCACATACATTCTCCTCTAAAAACAGTGTTTGGGTATCTTTTACTGACACTTAGTTCCCTACGAAGGAGCTGTTCTTTTCATTGCTGTGGGATAGGAGGAGCCGTAGGGAGCTGTTCCTGTCCTCACCATGGGACACGAGGGGCTACATGGAACTGTTCCTGTCCTCCCTGTGGGGCAAGAGGAGCTGTAGGCAACTGTTCTTGTCCTCACTGTGGGGCAGGAAGAGATGCAGGGAACCATTCCTGTCCTTGCTGTGGAGCCAGATGGAGCTGCAGGGAATTTTTCTTGTTCTGATAATGAAGCAAGAGGAGGCACACAGCAATCCTGACCGCTGTAACTGAGGGTGGAATTCATCATGAGGATTCCAAGAATGGCCCCCAGAGAAGGGAGCAGGTGATTGTCTGCCTTGGATCCATCTGTGTTGCTGCGTCTGGGTCCCTTTGTGAGCAGGATTTAACAAAGGCTGAGGATTTGCCTGTTCTGTTTGTCCACTGTTAGAATCCCAACTGAAAATTCCCTTTGGAAGCAGCATGGGAATGCTCATTTGGGTGATGCTCTTTGGCCATGCAGCCAGTGTACTGCAACATCTGGATAGAAGCTGTGGCTGCCCCACCACTGGAAGTGTCCGAGGCCAGATTGGACAGGGCTTAGAGCAACCTGGTCTACTGGAAGGTGTCCCTGCCCATGGCAGGGGGGTGGAATGAGGTGAGCTTTAAGGTCCCTTCTCACCTAAACCATCCTGGGATTCTGTGGCTCTGACAGTGCCCTTGCAGGAGTCAAAGAGCTGTTACAGTCTCTGTAGTCTGCATTGACCGGGCGGGAAAGCCGGACCCATGAGGGACTGATCACAGCAAAATGATTAAAGTCTAATTTTGCTTTCTGAACTATGAGAAATGAAGAAGAACTGACATGTCTCAGTACCAGGTCACCATAATTAGTTAATTAACAACCTGTACTTTCTGCTCTGAATTTGCTTCTCTTTGGTTTCTTACCATTGATTCTTTCTCTGTATTTGTTCTGCAGATTTCAGATTAGATTTCTTTCAGTGCCCTGGAGGATGCAGGGTAGCACATGCTTGTCCTGTCTGCAGGCTGGGAAAGTTCACTGCATTGCCCAAATCTTTGCTTACCCAAAATAGAAATTGTGGCTTGTCTGACAGAAATAGTTCCTGTGGGGCCAGGGAGTGAGGAATCCCCACCGGGACACGCCACAACAGTGGGAGCTGGAGCTTACAGCTAAGGGGCAGATCCTGCCCAGTTCCAGTCAGGTCCAAGAACAAAATAGGGATTGAGGCTCCCCACGGACTCTCAGGCTTGATGGCCCCCTGGGAAAAGGTGGTTGGAATTAGGGTTTTTACACTGGAAAGTCATATAGCCACAACAGCAGGATTTCTCAAGGTAGCACAGACTTTGCTGCCCAGGAAACACGATATGAGCCAGGGCTCTGCCAGCCACAGAGCTTGGGTTGGGGGGTTAGGGGAGGGCCTCCTAAATTCCTGAGCCTCCCAGCTGCCATTGTAGTCACCAGCCCACCCTCGAGAGCTATTTTGGTGACCACTGCCATGACACAGGAGCTGGAGAATGTGCTCTGAACAGGAGAGGTCTTTCTGCTCCCCGGAGGCACTTGGATGGAAGGTTTGGTCTTTGCTCTCTGCTTATCTCTGCTCCCTTGAGGAAGGCTCTGGCTGGGGTAACAAATTCTCTTCTATGGCGTTAAGAGGAAGGGTCAGGGCTTCATCTGGGCTGGGTGCAAGCCCTGGCAGAACTGGGGCTGCCTTAGTCCTGCCATCAGCAAGAGCCGCCCAAGGGGTCTGTGCTCCATGAGCTGTACTGAGCTCTGGTACTTTGGGTGCGTTGTGATGCAGTGGGGCCATAAAAACATGTTCACCTGTACAGGTGTGATGGAAATGCACGGGGTGGGTGTTGTGTGACTGTGTGGCAGTGCTGAGGTGACAGCAGAGGCTGGGTCATGGCAGGGGGAGTGAATGGAGTGGGAGTTGGACTGAATGATCTCCAGAGGTGCCTTCCAACCCGAGCTGTTCTGTGATTCTGTGTGCTGTGGTGGGCAGGGGGAGGGCGTGTGCTCGTGCAGGTGTTGGCAGTGAGTTTGGCTGGAGAGCAGCAGGAGAAATGTGTGTGAGTTGGAGCAGTGCAGGGAGCACTCGTGCCTGTCAGCTCCCCAGGGTATGTGTGCACAGCAGGGTCCTGTCCTGGAAGTGGCACTGGGGGTCACAGATTGGTGGTAGAGCAGGAGAGAGGGATGGCATGATGTGTGGGCATTAGCGCTGGAATTCTTCTCTCCTTCCCTGTCCTTCATCACCTGCTCTGTATTTTCTTCCTCCTCTCCTTTATTCTGTTCTCTTTATTTCTGTCTGATCCTTCTGTCTTCCTCTCAGCCTGTTCAGTGTACTAAGCCCAGCTCCAGCATGGAGGGTGACTGCACGGTGCTGTCCCTGCCCACGGCACGGGACAGCCAGGAAGAGTCCCCGGACCTGGCAGTGGGTGCAACCAGCAGCAGCGTGGCTGGGCCCCCTCAGCACCCCACAGGCACGACCAGCAGCAGCGTGGCTGGGCCCCCTCAGCACCCCACAGGCATGACCAGCAGCAGCGTGGCTGGGCCCCCTCAGCACCCCACGGGCACGACCAGCAGCAGCGTGGCTGGGCCCCCTCAGCACCCCACGGGCACAACCAGCAGCGTGGCTGGGCCCCCTCAGCACCCCACGGGCACAACCAGCAGCGTGGCTGGGCCCCCTCAGCACCCCACGTCACCCCATCAGCACACGAGCGGGGCAGAACAGCCCTGGAGAGACAAGCAGGACTCCACAGGGTGTCCCTTGTCCCAGGAGCAGCTTCCAGAGACGCCAGAGCCAGAGTGTCTGATCGACTCGCAGCCCATCCCCTTCAGTGAGAACCCCTTTGTGGTGGCCAACCGCAGGGGCAAGGCTGCGGGCACAGCCAGCCTGGGAGGGCCTCCCCTGGGCTACGGCAGCGGGGGCGTGCTGAAGACCAGCCTGTACTGCAAGGCAAGCGGCGTGTGCCGTGTGGTGTTTGGCATGCACTCACACAGTCTCGCCCACCGGCGTGTGCCGTGTGGTGTTTGGCATGCACTCACACAGTCTCGGCCACCGGCCCCTACTAAACCCCGGCGCTGGGCAGCACGGTGCCCGCGGGCCGGGCCCCCCTAACCCGTGTGCCCCCAGCACTGTGTGTGGGGGGTCAGTCCCTGACAGTCAGTGTTGTCCTCCGGCCACTAACGCACCCCGCTCACAGCCACGCATGCGCTGCCGAGCCCGCCGAGGGGACACGGTGGCATCTGTGAGTTCCCTGCTGTCCCTCTGAGTCGGGCTGGGACAGCAGCGTCCCTGCCCTGAGCGCAGGGCTGGCAGGGCTTGTGGGAGATCGGTGCTGGTGCCACACTTACACACTTGGGCCTGAACAGCCCTTCTTAGGTGTCTGAAAAGCAAGCGGAGAGCAGCTGCCGTGGTTGATCCACAGCCCAGGAGCTGCTCCTACAAATGACAGTTTTCGGTAGATTGAGACTGGGATTTCAAGGGAGAACTTTGCTTTCTGCTCTGGGAAATCTGTTTGTATTTGACATTCTTACTGTTGCACAGGGAACTTTTGGCAGAACAGGGACTAGACCCAAAGATGGGTCTATCCTGTCCTCTAGATGAGCTCTACGTTGCTTTCCCCTTCTTCCTTTCTCAGCCTTTTGGGAGGTCTCAAAAGCTAAACAGCCACAGATGAACAGCCTCATACAGAGGAAAAACCAACCAATCAACCAACCCAGCCCCCAGCTGTATTGATCTTGAAGGTGTTTTAGGGAATTTCACAAGTGTGTAGGCAGGTCAGCTTAGAGCAAGGCATGTAGTGGAATCTGTGCTCCAATATAAACTTCAGGTCACTTCAGGCTTGGTCAGATTAAACACTGTTGCCCAAGGCTGACTTGAACCAACTGACCAGTGGCTGTGATATTAGTGACTGGGACCGTAGGATTGCCTAAACAGTTCCCTAAATCCCAAATGACCTGCTTCCACCTTTAGGCATCTAAAATACTTCCGAAATGTACTCCTCACTCCTGCAGTCAGAGTGCAGGTGGTTCCTGGGACTCTGCTCTCCGTTCACTTGTTGGGATGGGCTGGTTCAGCCAAGCGTTGGTGCCAGAAGTTCCTCTGGAATTGAGGAGAGCCCTGTCTCTCCAATGCTACTGGTCCTACCAGCAGGCCAATAGTAATGGATGTGGCTGGGGATGATTCCTGTCTCCTTCCAGTTGGCAATGGCTATTTTTGCTCAGTGTCTGTACAGCAGGAGGTTTGCCTGGACTGTGACCCTGCCTGTGAGGGCTGTGAGGAGTCAGGGAAGAGGAGTCAGGGCTTGCTGTGAGGCAGAGGCTGTAGCTGATCTAGCTGGCCTTGCAGGGTGTTTGGATATGATCCCAGTTCCAATGTTTAATGCCATTCCCTTGCTGTTTCTAATGCTTTTTGGCAGTTTCTGGCACATTCCAGCTGCTGCTGGGTCCTGCTAACGCTGCTCCCTGGGGAGGGGCCATGGCTGGATGTCCAGGGTGTCCTATGCCTCCCGGGCTCTACAGACCCCCTTCTGCCATGCAGTAACTCTCGAGCTTTGTCTTCTCTCTTTCAGGCTCCTGTGGGCGAGTCTGGGACAGGAAATTCCAGGCGTGAAACCCCCTATTCTCCCAGTAATCCACAGGTGAGACTGCCCCCTGGATAGGTGATATGGGAAAGGCAGGGAGACTCTTCCAGGGATGAAATGCAGAGGAAGCTGAGGGCGATTTTCATCCTTCAGTGACACTGTTGATGTGGAGGGGATCTGTCACAGGAGGCAACTAGAGAGCGAGGGAAGAGCTGCCTCCTTCAAAATGCCTCAGAGAGCTAGGAGGGTGATTAGCTGGTCATAAACAAGCTCTGAGAGGTGGCTTAATTCCAGGATGATGAGATGGGGAGTACCTGGAGTGGTACTACCTGTAGTTGTCAGTATTTTGGGAATGGCCTCACCAATGCCTTATGCAGAGACCCCGGCAACTGGTATGTGGTAAGAAATGGAGGAGTCAGGGCTTGGAGAATGATCTCAGGTCTGTAAACCAGTGCTTCCCAGAGGATCCCTGGATCTGTGTGTGACACTGGAGGTGACCCACGTGAGCTGTTGGGAAGGAAGTGGAAGGACCCTGCACTCAGGAAATGATTTGCTACAGCTCCTTGCTCAGAGGTTTTCCTTCTGCAATGGGAAGTGTCTTTATTTCTTGTAACTTCTGATTATTTTTTCTTTATGAATATTACCTGTCCTCCCTCACTGTTCTTATTCATTGTACCAGCTCTGATCTTTCCTTTTCAGTCTCTGAGTCTTTGCTCCCACTGTCCATCCTGTTGCAGGAGGTGTCACAGCTCAGTTGAACCTTTTGAAGTTAAATGATCTTAAATGGATTGTTTAATTTTCCCTTCACAGCCATTACCTGTAACTGGGTTTTATACTGGGGGCTTGAGTGAACTGCAAGTTGTACTTTGTCCTCTGTCTGTAGTCGTTTTGGGTCTGTTGTGTTCCTTTTGGAGTCCAGCTGCTCTCCAGCTGTTTGGGAATAGCTGCTCTCCCCACCGGCTCTACCACTTCCCTGATCTTCAGTGGAGCCATTTCAGTTCTCGGAGCTGGACAGGACTCTTGAGGTGAAGGGCTTTACCTTGGGGTGAGGTGACCAGTGACACGGGCTCAGGAGAAGGATCGAGACCACGTGCTGAAACTGTAGGAGCAGCACTTCAGTCCATCTCCTGTTACTTCTTGGCCTGTCTCTCATCTCCCTCATTTCTTGGATCCTTTGGAATTGATTGTCCATCAGGAACACAACAAGATTAGAAGAGGATACGATTTGTTATAGCAACACTATTTCAAGGCACTTTGTTCCAGCTGCATGTGTTTACCTATTTGCATTTCTGACAGCAGCTGCAAACTGGGTGAGGGTTTATTTTGGGCTGTTTGTAAGTTTTTCTCTTACCACAAGTGCCATTTTTCTTTGAGATTGGTTTCCATGGATTCCCAGGATGGTTTGGGTGGGAAGAGACCTTCAAGACTATCTCGTTCCACACCCTTGTCATAGACAGGGACACCTCCCACTAGCCCAGGTTGCTCCAAGTCCTGTCCAACCTGGCCTTGAACCCTTCCAGGGATTGGGCAGCCACAGCTTCTCTGGGCAACCTGTGCTGGGGCCTCCCCACTCTCCCAGGGAAGGATTTCTCCCCAATATCCCATCTAACCTTGCCTTCTTTCAATGGGAAGCCATTCCTTCTTGTCCTGGCACTCCAGGCTCTTGTCCAAAGTCCCTCTCCAGCTCTCCTGGAGTCCCTTTAGGCACTGGAAGGGGCTTTAAGGTCCCCCCAAGGCCTTCTTCAGGCTGAACACCCCCAGCTCTCTGCTTTTCTGAGGATTCAGGGGTCTTGTTCCTCCAGAGCAGAAGTTCCAAGGAATTGCGTCTCTAATTCTCTGGCTCCATCTATTTTTACTGTTAATTCTTTGGTTTCAACATCTTGTAGTCCAGCCAGAATTTATTGGCTTATTTCAGAGAATTCCTGAGGGAAATGGAACCCTTTGTCCTGAGTTGGCGTTGTGCCTCTGTGAGGGGGTGGGGGGAGGCAGGAGGTGTTTGTGGTGGGTCTGTTTGTGCTGAGCAGGGCAGAGGGGCTTCCCCCATGGTGGGGACCCCAACAGCTCCGGGTGCTGCAGTCTCTGTGCTTCTCTCCCACGGAAAACCCAGTCTCTCCGTTTTCTCTCCCGTTCTCTCCCCTGCTGATGCCCCTCTCCAGGTGCCCGCAGCCCCCCGGCCCCCTCACCTGGCCGGCAGGGAGACCCGCTTTGTAAGTGCTGCTGGTGTGCGGTGTGCGCTGCTGCTCCGGCTGCTCCCGCTGCCCGCGCCCCCCGCTCCGGCCCTGGGGACCTGGGGCTCCTCTGGGGCTCCCCTGGGGCTCGCTGGGGCTCCCCTGGGGCTCTCTGGGGCTCTCTGGGGCTCCCCTGGGGCTCTCTGGGGCTCCCCTGGGGCTCGCTGAGGAAGCACTGCCCTGGTGGCACCTGAGGCACAAGGGGCTGCTCCCTGTGAGCCGCTGCTGTGATGGCACCTGCGAGCGCTTCTGGGGAGGACCTGCGGTGGGATGGCTTTGCTCCGGCTTGGGGGCAAGTGCAGAGGGTGGGAATATGCCCAGGGAATGTGCCCGTGGTCCAGGAGCAGAGGATATGCCCAGGGACCAGGACCTGGGGATGTGAGCAGGGAACAGGACCAGGGGCTGTGAGCCAGGCCCAGGAGCAGGGGCTGTGAGCCAGGGCCAGGACCAGGAGATGTGCCTGTGGGCCAGGATCAGGGGCTGTGACCAAGGGCCAGGACCAGCCTAGAGCTGGGGCCAGAACCTGGAGATGTGCAGAGAGCTGAGGGCATCCTTGCATAGCAGAGGAGCTGAGAGAAGCTCTGGCCTGTCCCCACTCAAAGAAGCAGGAATGGTGGGGTTTCTGTGGCATCTGGGAGTTCCCCAGACAGGGTAGGCAGTGGGGCAGAGGTAAACTAAAGGTTTTCAAGGTGAACTCCAGATTTACAGCTGTATTTCTGTTTGCAGGCTTCCATTAACTTCATTACGTCGCAAGATGACAGTAAATCAGTGAGTACAACTGTCCTGAGACCTGACTGTGGTGTCCCTCTGCATCCCCCAGCACGTGGAGCTTGTCTTTTCCTCCTGTGGGTGCTCACTCCCACCCAGCCTTGCAGCTCCACTGTTGACTCCTGTTCTATTTCCTCCAGTCCTCCACTGTGCCTCAAGTTTGTACAAATGCACCAAGTCTTAATTATGATCCATTTGAAAACCCAACACAACTGTTTTTGCAGCGTATATTCCCGTTTCCCCTCGCATCTTCCACTCCTGGGGTTTTTGCTGGCTTACCCAACTCCTGTTGCCACTCTCTTTAGTGACTGATGACTCTTGTAGCTGCTTCTTGTGTGGCAGATGCTCCCTTGTGTCCTGGCCTTCTCCATAACCTGCTGGTCCTGTGTGACCCTGACTTGGCTGAATCCCTTTTGGTGTTGGCCCCAGGAGCTCTCCTGCTGGTCTGGGTCCGGTAGCTGGAGCGGGCAGCACAGCCGAGGAATGGAGCTGGGGTGCATGGATTTGCATGGATTTGTTTATTCACCCGCATGGCAGACACCTCGCTGCCCTAACTGCTCGTTTCTCTTCTCTCTTTCTCCCTCCCTCTCCTCTTCCTCTGCCTTTCCCTGGGGCACTGACACGAGCAGACCAAGCCCGGCGTCATTCAGCCTCTGTCCCGCGTGCGACAAAGTGCTGCCTCACACACTGCGGAGGAGGGGGACAGCCCCAACCCCTTCCAGCAGCCCGAGCCATGCTTCAGGATCCACAACTCTGTAAGTGGCCTGGGGTTTCTCCCTGAAAGCCATTTCCCTGCCCTGGGTGCCGTGGTGCCACACGTTGTGGCTGGACACCCTCCCAGCAGTGATGGTGTGGTTTGACGACCACGTGCCTGAGCTGAGGCTGGTGGTGTCCATGCACCAGTCTGGGTACCCTGGGGAGGAGCCCTCACTCCTCACAGGCAGGGCAAGGTCAGTGCATCCCACTCATTTCTCTGGGCCTCCCCAGCTGCCCCATGTCTCCCCGTCCCAGGAGTTGGCAATGCTGAAGCTGTTGTGGCCAAAATCCCCAGAGCAGGTACAGGTTTAGAACCATATTTGTGAAGTGTTAAGTTCTGTGGAGACATAAATCCTACAGAACCTTTGTCAATGTCTGGCACCTTGGAGCAAGAGCCAATACCATCCTGCTGATGGATTTTACGATTTACAGAATTATTATTTTTGAAAAGTTCATATTCCCAGGACTGTTTGTTGATGGGAGAGAAAGATTCAGGTGTTTTGGTCTTTGTCATGCCAGAAGACCTGTATCCCTTAAATATATAAATGGAAGGAATAGTGGAAGGTGTCCCTGCCCACAGCAGGGGGCTGGGACTGGATGTGCTTTAAGTCCCTTCCCACCCAAGCCATCCTGGTATTCCATGGATGCAGCCCTTCTGTCTCTACTGGAGCTTGTGTGACATGATACCAAACCAGAGGTGTGGTTTGCAAACAAAGAGCTGTATAGAACCCATGGAATTGGCCACGGTTCACATTTTACAGTCTCTTCTGATCTCACTGTGCTGTCCTTTAGCCTGTGCAGAAGGAACATGATCAAACAACATATTTTAGCCTCAGCCCAGAACAAAGAAAAAGTACAAAGGTCTGGAACTGGGTTAGTGCATCTGGAGGGTTGGAGTGATGAATAGGAAAAGAGTATTTGTTTTCCAGCAGAAGGAAGGTTGGGGTGTCATTGTCCCCCATCCCATTAATTTCTGTGATGCTTTGAGCAGGTCACCCCAACTGTGCTTCCCCCCAGACACGGCAGGAGGGGTCATGGGGACAGTGGGTGAGGAAAAGACCAGCAAAGGCAGTGATAAACAGTAGGAAGGTCCCTCAGACTTTTGTCAGATGTTTCTGAGTAAGTGGAATTCTGCAAAGGAAATATTTGTGATCAAAGGCAGGTCTCCTCCCAGATCACAGATGCTTGAATCAGGTCATGGAACCACAGGGTGGTTTGGGTTGGATGGGACCTTAAAGACCATCTTGTTCCACTCCCTGCCATGGGCAGGGACACCTTCCACTAGAAGGAATCTTGTTCAACTCTTAGTAGGGGTCAGAATCAACCATGTAACTGTCCTGTCCCAGCCCCAAAACCCCTGATTCAGGTAGGCACATGCTGGTTGAATTGGGTAGAAGTCCTCAAGGACTGTGACAGCAATGTGGCCCTTGGCCAGGAGATCCATCACAACATTCCTGTCAGGTCAGTGAGGATCTGTGCCACGACAAGTACCATTCCTCCACCATCCAGGAAATAAAACAGGGCTGTGACCCACATGCTGCTGTGTGTAGTGTATGTGCAGTACTTTGCTCCTTGTGTTCCTGCCCAAGGCTCAGGAGCAGCCTTGGCAAGGCTTACATGTTCCCTTACACATTCCTTTCCATATCCCACTCCTCGGGCTCTGCAGGCCGAGAGCTGGGCTGTGTTTCCCCCGTGTGGGTTTTGTCGCACCACCTGGGCTCACCTTTACCTCCTGTCTGTCCCCGTAGCAAAAACCACCGTCGCCACCCTCCCCTGACGAGGTCCCCATCAATGTCAAGCAGGCCTACAAGACCTTCGCAGCAGTGCCCCTGTCCCACCCGCTGCTCGGGACACAGGTAACTCGTGCTGCTGGGGGGCTGCTCCAGCACAGGGGAGAGCAGAGCAGGTGTGAGAAGGGGAGGAGGTGGTGATTTGTTCCCTCCAAGGAAAGCTGCTGTGGAGAAGGGGGATGTTGAGGTCCTGTGGAAGTTGGCATCTGTTCGTGATGCAGATGGTCACCCTGCAGAGTGTATCTGTGTCTGTGAGTGTAGCAGGTCCTGGAATCTCACAGCACCGTTATTCTCCTTGGGCATTGGGATGCTGATGTACAACCAAGCTGTTCTCATACAAATGAACTCTGAAATTCCAGAGTCCAGGGCCAGGCTAAACCTGTGCTGAGCCATTTTGTGGTGGATTTTGATTTTGAGCTTCACTGCAACTGTTTTTTCTCCCCTCCATGTAGTGGAATCATGGAACAGTTCAGGTTAGATGAGGCCTTGGACATCATTGCCTTAGTCTCCCATGCAAAACAGCACAACCTTGGAAGTTAGAATCATTGAATCACGGAATGTCCTGAGTTGGAAGAGACCCAAAAGGGTCATCAAGTCCAGCTCCTGGCTCTACACAGGACACCCCCAAGAATCCCACCATGTGCCTGAGAGCATTGTCCAAACGCATCCAAAGCTGTAAGAGGTTGCTCAGGCCCATCCCCTTGAGTTCTGAATTCCCAAAATCAGAGATTCTGAGGACACTGTGGGCACTCTACTGTGAAGAGGTTTTTTTTCTGTTTTATTGAATTTCTTTTACCACAGATTATGTCTTCTGCTCATCCCTTGCTGGACATCTCTGAGGAGCCTGACCTTGGCTCTGTAACTCCTCTAGGGATGCAGGAATTAGATCCCCCTCCCCTGAGCCTCCTCTTCCAGGCTGAACAAGCACAGCCCTCTGAGCCTGCTCTCAAATGTCACCTCCTGCAACCCCTGTGCCATTTTGCTGGCATCCCCTTGATGTGGGGTGGTTTGTTGGTGTCCTCCACATCCCGGGGAGCCCCACGCTGGGCTCGCTGCCCTCGAGGTGCCCTGAGCCTGCTGCCTCCCCTCCCATGCCGTCCTCCCTGCCCATCCTTCCTGAGGAGCCTGTGTCCGTGCATGCCAGCTCCAGCTGGGTGAGAGCTCTGGAGCTGTCTGACGTGGGCAGTCATTCACTAAAGGAGCAGAACCCTGTGGCAGAACCCCTTTGGCGCTCCGGGGCCCTCTGCTCTCGGGATCACCTCACTGCTTCCCTTTTCCCTGTTCCTGTCGTCTTCTTGCTGGGACATTCTTGCTACAAATGAGATCCTGTTTCACAGATGGCTTTCTACTGGGGCATTGCTTCTTCCTTTCCTTTCCTTCCTCTTCTTTCCCTCCTCTCCTTTCCCTTTCTTTCCTTTTCCATGTTCATGCTGGAAGCTGTGGCTGTCCTGCAATGACTTGTGACAGCCACTTCGTGCCCTCCCGTGTCCCTTGTCCTCACCTGCCCTCTCCTTGATCTGGTTTAGTACATCAAGAGGGGTCACAGTCTGTCTCTGCTGTTTGTAGGCTTGATTTTTGTCCATTTTAGCTTTATCGACTGATTTCCTCGGAGTTAATGACTGTCAGACAACCTCAGGGAAGATGTAGCAAAGCAGGATGAACAGGAGGTGGAACTGGTCTCTGTTGGCATCTGCCATCCCCCAGGTGACCCAAGCTCATGGTCAGGTGTGCACAGAAGTGTTTCCAGCATCACCGTCTCCAGCTGATGCATCACGGGTTGAGGAACAACTTCTGCTCCTGCAAGAGATCACCTGGCAGTTTGCACTACTGAGGGGAATTCTTTTCATCCCTTTAAATTATTTTTGTTTAATTACATTTGTCCATTGAGCTTGGAGAGACTGATAACTCCACTGCTCAACTTATCTCTGCCTGCTTCTGGATTTTTAGGAATATATCAGCTATTGTTTTAGGCATGAACTTCCACCCAATCAAAAGTCCATTAAAAATCCGTGCTTGTCAGATGGGCATTGTCACAAGTCATTCCACTCAGAGTTATTGCACAGAGATTGTCCTGGTCCTGCAGATTTGTGTTGAGCTCTTGGCTTTGCTTCTGTGGTAGCAGCAATAATTCCTGTTTCCAGGCATTTGCTTCTTTGCTAGAAGGTTTTTTTTGCCTTTTTTAGCTCCTTCCCTTCTCTATTATTGTACTCCATATTACGCAAAATTAAAACTTCCTGTTAGTTTTTGGAGTGTGTTTGGATAAAGCCAAAGGTCATCTCCTTTCTCTCTTATTGTGGGTCCTTTCAATTTGTCTAATTAAAAAACTTTTCCGTAACTTGTTGGCAATTCTCAGTTTACCCCTATGGATTCCTCAGTCACAGATGGTGATTCTCTGGGCCCTCTCTTCCTCCTGTAGTTTTACTCATCCAGTATTCTGTTCTTTATCCTGGTAAAAGTGGTAAGTTTTGGGTGGTTTTATCTTTGATGTAAGGAAGATGTAAGTGAGCCCCATCCAGCTCCTGTGAACTCTCCCCAGCTCCAGCTCAGCCCCTGCTCCTGTTCTCCACCTGTTTCATGTTTTTCAGTTTCTGCTCTTTCAGAAGTTGTCACACCTGGTTCTGTTTAACCCTCAGTTTAATGTAAATCCTCATTCCTGACTATCACCAAGCCTGACTTGTTAATTCTGTGCGAATTGTGGGACTGTTTTGGGAGCCTCCGTCAGCTCACGTGGCTGGAAGATGGGGGTGGGTGGAAACTTTCCTTTTAAAATGTGCCTGTTTCTCTCTGTCCTTAGGAATTGTCTGGTCAGAGCAGCACAGAGAACACCAAAATGGCCTCGGAGGTGAGTTTTGGGGCTGGGGCTGGAAAGAGGGTGGGAGTCAGGAGGATGTGGGGGCTGTGATGAGGAGATGGGCTCACAGCATGGAGGGGCTGGGGAGGAGGAGAAGGGTGTGGAGCAGGAGGCAGAGTAAGGGTTGGGGTGACATGGGCAGAGGTGGTGTGGCTGGGGGGGCCATGGGCAGTGGTGTGGCTGGGGGGGCCATGGGCAGTGGTGTGGCTGGGGGGCTGTGGTGGTGTGGCTGGGGGGCTGTGGGCTGTGGTGTGGCTGG